ATGTGAACATCAACCAAAAGGAGGTTTCTTTCTCAGAATCTCCGCTGACAAGTTCCCCCCCCCCCTTATCTGCCTTCTTATTAGAGAACTCAGATAAATCTATCCATTGGTTAAATTGCTAAGTGTTAGTAAAAAGTACTCCTCTATCCCCGCAAAGCAGACTTATCATTAGATAGAATTATCCAATCCTTGCCCAATGAGGGCACAAACAGTAACTGATATTTGAGATTCCTTTCTTGTGGTGCATAGCTTTGTGATTAAGTATAGCTACAACAACAACAACAACAAGAACTTTATTTGCACCCTGAATTAAATTAAATTTACATTACAAGAAAGTAATAAAACAAATAAAATAAAGTGCATGGCTGCCAAAAATAACCAGCAGGCTAATAGAATTGAGCAGCCATAGCTCTAAAGATAGACCCTCCTTTGCTGACTAAGTAGGATCATGAATACAATCAGTTGTAAAAATTGCAGTTACTGTACTTTACTTTTCTCTTACTAGCAATTTAATCGTTCACTGAGAGACTATGCATGGAAGGTGTTGAAAATCAAGTTGTCAAACCATGGAATGTGGGATCATAATAACATTGTTAGTACCAAATTGAATGAGAACTTTTTGATTTGTATACAATATTTTACTCTATAGCTCTTTTGAGCACAGTAGCAGGCATGTCTAATGCCTTCACCACATGGCTACTCTGAGATGTAAACATCATTTTGTTTATTGTCTTTATTTAACTGACACAAGTGCATTGGTTTTGCTTGCAGCCTGTTCGTCAAATAGAGGCCACATCAGAGCAGGAAATATTTCATGAACTGAAGCTGGAATACAGAGATCCACATGACAGAAATGCATAACTGATGTTAGAACATTAATTTTTAAGTGTTGAAAACAAGTTATTAGAGTACACAACTTAACCATTTATTAATACCACACAAGCAATGCAGCTGGACCATTCACTTTGAAGATTACTCTGCTTTGCAATTGTAACCATTACATCTACAGTGACTGCAAATGCCGCCTTACCCTGCATGCAAAGCAGGAAGATCAAAGGCCACCCTGCTTACAATTTAACCCTTTGACCACGGTCTAATTTCTCCTTATAATATTACCCCTAAATCAAACATTAGGGTCATGAGAATAAAGGAAATGATCACCAACCAAACCTCATGATTATTATACAAATTCTCCTTGTCTACAACTAAGGAAATGTATGGCAAATAGTAAGGAGAATATAATAACTTATGTTAGGGTCTAAAGGGTTCAAGTGGACAAACTTTTTGAGTTACAAGGAATATTGCAGGGGGAGGTGAGGGGCCTTATGCTCAGAAATGGGTAAAAGTGAAGAACAGTTCCCAAAAGATACTGTTGGCTGACTGTCAGCCAACAGACGGCCAACTGTTGGTCGACCGTTGGCCGACAGACGGCCAACAGTCAGCTGGTAGTTTTCGTTATGTTGCCGACTAAAGTGTCCGCCGGCCGACAGACAGCCAACTGTCAGCCATGTGTTGGTAACCTGTCGGGGTAAAAGTGAAGAACAGTTCCCAAAAGGTACTGTTGGCTGTCTGTTGGAAATGCGTAGTGACATTTTTCTGACAATGGTATCAAAAAATTTTGAGACCAGTTTCCAATACAATTTATATTTTTATTACCAGTTATCAAACTTTACAGGTTTGGATGAAGCTGAAAAAATAAACTCAAAATTAAAGTATACCTTGTCTATCAATTTTGTGTACTTCTTCCCTGATTAAATAAGTTTTAATCTGTTCAATCTTTTATTCACCCAGTCAAGCAGTATAATCATAAATAAAGTTTAATATAATTTTTGTTAATAAAAGTAATCTTTAATATGGTATACCATGTAATACATAAAGTTTTTATAAATTTAATTAATTTGCAAATTGTTGGGTTTTTGCAGGACCAAATTTTTGCAGTTTGAGGTGACTGAAATTTCTTGTGGGAATTACCGCAACTAAATGTTTGTGATTTTCTGTTCAAACAGCAAAACATGAACTCGTTGCGAGAGTCTCTCAATAGAAAATGTCAGATCTTAGGTTAAAGGTTTAACGAATTGTGCACAAGCAAAAATATTTAGTGGATTAAAAAGTAGCATACATCATAATTAATATATTATTCATATTTTTGCAATCAATTATAACTTACAGTACCTTTTTTTGTCAGTTAAAGACATGACCTGCATGGTATGAATTGTATACTTAATTGGTACCTTCAAGTCAAATATAAATTAAATAGAGGATATTCCATAGCCGTACAGGGACACGAATTTTATCTTCAAGTGCTGTAAGTATCTCGACAGAATCAGAGATACTTTCAGCACGAGAAGATAAAATTCATATCCCCAAGCCGCCATGTAATGTTCTCTTTATTTTATAGATATCCAAAAGGTCTGGAAAGGAGAAGACTGACAGAAATTTTTATAAAAATAGCGACACATTTGAAACTAAATTTAAAAGACATGTTGAACGACCCAAACATGTCTTATAAATTTAGTTTCATGTGTGTCGTTATTTTTATAAAAAATTTATAGATACTGATGAAATTTCCACATTATACACAACTTTTTGTTAATTCATTTTGGAAACAGCAAAATAGAGCTATTAATGTGGTCAGTATTGTATTATAGTGTTATAATTCTTTTGTTCAGTTGTAACAGAAAAGTTACCAAACAAAGGAGCGTTAAGAGTTACACATAGCTAAAACTTATATTTCACAAGCTGAAAAAGATTCCCAAAAACAACACTAGGTAAATACAAAAATTTTAAATAGTTACTGTTGGAATGTACTGTTAATCATGGTACCGAAAAAAAGGACCTGCCACTGAAAAAACACAGTCAAGAACACACAAGCCCTAAAATACTATTGTTCAGGAATGGTTGCAAAATGTAACTCTGAATAAATAAGTTTTGCACACCAATATTAATTTTATTATTAACTAGAACCAACGGGCCTCCACATGAACATGGTGTTTGAATGCAAGCAGAATCTGTACCATAAGTTAGTAATAAAAAAGAAGTATAAAAAAAATTCATTGACATAAAGTTACTAATTTAAAAGAAATATTTATTTAGCAGAAATCATCTGCATCAATTTAATACTTTCATGCCATTGTATAACTTTGCTCTTCCTTGTCCCTAAGTGCATCTTCCACCTGAAAATAGAAACAGAAAATGCCATCAGTTTTTTTGCCAAGGAAGACTGGAGATAGAATTGATGTTAAGTGTTTCATTTTGTGAAGTTTTCCCATTTATTTGGCTGTATTGCATGGCAGAGAGGAACACTGTGGGAGAACTTGGGTGTCTTTAACCATTTAACACCCAGAAGTGATTGACATGTAACTTCTCCCTAAAATACCCTTACATTATCCAACAAACAGGTAATGAGCATATTCAAACTTGTCTGGTAGAAGTTATCTTGATCTGAAATCAAATTCTTATAACTAATTTACAAGGAAATGTGTAGGAGTTAGAGCGGAGAATTCACCATTTGATCTTGGGAGTTAAAGACTTAGTAAAAACAAAATACAGACTGACTAGAGTTCAGTCTGCTACTGCATCTCCTCACCTTAGAGGAAACAAGGGAGAATGTAAAGTCAGCTAGGGAGCTGGTCAAAAGTTATCTAGTAAGCTTTAACAAATCACCAAGGCAGAATATTCACCTCACTAATAATTATAAATTGGGGATTATTAGTTGATCCAATACCAAATTCTTCCAAGTACAGCTGTAACACTGGCAGACAGTAAAGGAGAGTAAATAATAAGACCTGGGAGTGAAAGAGTTACAGATGCGCTATGACTGTGCCAGGCCTGTGTTTACATTGTATTATAGAGTCTACATGTACACCAGTTCAAGTTCAGCATACCTTATTTGATACGATTAGAACAATGCCATTTTTCAAAAACTCCTTCCTTGTTTCAGCAATTCCGTCAGGTGACACTCCACGGCAGCCATCCACTATAACATGAGTTCTAAAGCCTTGCTCCCAAGCATCAATTGCTGAATGTTTCACACAAACATCAAAAGCTAAACCACACAAGTACACATCTGTAACACCACGGTTGAGAAGATCAACAAATAATGAGGTCTGGACACAGTCCGCATTATCCCAAAATGCGGAATAGCTGTCGATACGGGGATTGCTACCTTTCTTCACTGTTATATCCTCTTTGCCAGGAGGCTGGCCAAAAAAATAAAAAAAAGGAAACAGCTGGTGTCATTTGGAGGGTAAACAAAAACAAAATTGTGGAAAGATAAAATTTCAAAACTTAATCATTGCTGTTGAAGACCATTCACATTTCTAATACAATACTGCACAGTTATTTCTCACTAGTCTTAGCTAAAGCTCTCAAAACATATCTGGTGCAGCAATAAATACAGGGGATCTCTACTCTAAGAATGAGATAGCACCTACAGTCGTAGTGTAAGAAGGACAAGGCATTAAAAAGAAGGATTCATTCAAATATCACTCATTTTCCAGCCCTGTTGTGGTTTTGCCAGTGGGGACCTTGGGCTTTGGTTCTCTTTATTTTCATACAGCAACCATCTTGGTTTTGTAGTTATGTTTTGAGCTCAAAATAAATTATCTTATTTGATGACTCATTCCTGCTTATTCAACTGTTCTGGTACCAAGTACACAAGGAGCAAGTAATTAAAATCCAATTTGTGTTCTATACCAAAAACACTACATACCTTGATTCCTTTATGCAGCTCAGCTCCCCAGCTGTCGATAACACAGTGTCTTGGCCACAAAATTTGATTGATGAGAGGAAGTTTGTCATAAACAACAACATCAAATAGTTTGGCTTGAGCTGAGCTTACAGGACTAGTGGAGTGCAGTGGATACAAAGACACATTGTCTATGAAGGAACAATGATCTGGTGGATGCCAGTCAAATGTGTAACCAACAACACTAAACAGATTTTTAGACAACAGATCCTCAATCACTGACACTACTTCTTCACCATCTTCACCAGCAGGGCAGTGCTTTAATGCCAGAGACCCACTCATGAAGTCATTTTGGGCGTCAACAATGAGTAATGCTGATAAAGGGTTTGTAGACTGGAAAAAAAAAAATCAAGGATTAATGTGAATTCATAAACTGACAGTTCCGATGAGACTTGATCTTGATAATTTTCAGAGAGTGGAAATTACAGAGATTCTCAAGCTCTGATTGGTTGAGGATTGTGTTGTATATTGCTATAATATCATTGCGTGAGGTGACTAATGCAGGGGCACTAAATTTCAAAATAACTGCCTCCCAAATTTGTCAATGTTACCTTGTGGAAGTGATATAAACACGATACAAGAAAATTAAATTTCAAACATCTCATAGGATACTACATACTAAGCTTAGTGTAGCACTTTTCAAAAGTAAGATAGAAAGTTTTTTGCTGATTAAATTAAATAAACTTGTTAAGTTCTAGAGGAAAGTGGCTGCAACTTGATATGGATAATCAAAATGATTGTAACATTTTTCCAGCTTTCTCTGTTTACAGAACCGTTTCAACAACAGGACAAATTACAACAGAATTCAAAAGCACCTGAGCAGTTATACTAATTAAAAACAATTATTTGCCTCAAGCTCAATGAATAATTGTTAAAAAGTGCAATTATTATTGTAAGACGCATTATTTGACACAGTTTAGTTCACAGTTTAGATATCATTTGGCTGGATACAAAACAAGCATCCTTCCCTGTGTAATGACACGTATCTTTAGTTATTGTAGTAGCTCTTACAGGTTTCCCACAGTATTCCAAGCCTACCAATTGTCATCCTGAGACCTTCAAAATTTTGTGGAAATGGTGAGAGTATAGTTCGCAGATAACTGAACTTTGTGCGTTGAAAGGGCCAGGTTTGCACTTTGGCAGAAGACGCTGTTTAGATTTCTGGGGCAAAACACCTTGTAGTGTCTTGTGATATAAAAAAATCTCTCAAAAACCCTCTCCAAACAGGAGTAAAAATGAGTTCTGATGATTATTTTTAAAGAAGCCTGATAAAGTGCTGTGGGTGCACCAGTGATAGACCAGCTTATTACACGACTCGGGCAGTCAGAGGGCCAATAACTAAAATCAACCAATCAAAATGCTCTTTTGCCAGTCAATATTCTCTGAGTATTGGACAGGGCACTGTCCCAAATGGTCGCGAATGATACCGCACTTGTGTCCCTTTGAACTTCAGTCATATAATAAATCTCTTATTAACCAAGCTTGCTCGGGACCATACTGGAAGAATATCCGCGTTCGGTCCATACTGTCAAGACCTCGGGCCGATATTCTACCAGTACGGCCCTCGCGCTTGGTTAATAAGATATAATTATCCTTTATTCCCATGACCTTGATGTTTGATTCAACAGTTAAACTGTATGGAGAAATGACTTGCACAAGCTAAATGGTTCAACAACTAGTTTTTTCAGTAATCCTTATACTCCCATGACTGACCACTTGAGACAAAATTTTCTTAAGGAAGTGAGATGAAAGAAAAATGTCAATTAGGGGATTATTGGTTGATCAAATTCCAAATTCTCAAAGGTAACATAGGGCAGACAGTAAGGAGATCTTGGGAGCGAAAGGATTAGCTGTGGAACCTCCCCAAGTGGACACAAATGAGTTGAGCCTAGCATAACATAGTTATGATGAGGTACAGGGGTACACTGTACTACTGTGAGTTAGTTCAGGTTGGAAAGCTCTTGACTTCCTAAGCAAAAAAAGGATAAGTAAAAGAAAGCAGGACAGTTCTATATAGTTTGTGGATATCTATTGCCACTCCCAAGAAACACACCTTAATTCAAGGTTGAAAGAAGCACCTTACCGGTCGAAGCCAGTAATTCCACAAGGCTATACAGGACTCTTCGTCAATTCTCTTCTGCAAATAAAATAATTAAAAAATAACATTTGCATTTTGAGGTGTGTGTATAATGTATTATATGCAAATAAACGTGGGAGATCATTCACATGAGTAATAATATCTTTTATTACACGACTCGGGCAGTCAGAGGGCCAATAACTAAAATCAACCAATCAAAATGCTCTATTGCCTGTCCAATATTCTCTAAGTATTGGACCGGGCACTGTCCCGAATGGTCCCGAGTGATACCGCACTTGCGTCCCTTTGAACTTCAGTCGTATAATAAATCTCTTATTAACCGAGCTTGCTCGGGACCATATTGGAAGAATATCAGCCCTCGGTCTTTTTTGTACGGACCTCGCTGCGCTCGGTCCGTACTGTCAAGACCTCGGGTTGATATTCTCCCAGTACGGCCCTTGCACTTGGTTAATAAGATATATAAACATGACATTATAAATAGTACTGGGATCATGTTAATTGTAGGTGCTCTTCTCTGATACATCAGTCAAGGGTCAGTCAATACTTGACCAATATGTCCATCAACATTTGGTTGACACTCGGTCAACACTCGGGCAATGGTTGGGCAATACTCAGATGATAGTTGGGCAATGGTCGGTCAACACCCAGTTGACAGTTGGCCGATACTCGATCAAGACTTGGTTAATAGTCGATGATCAACCGATAAACTATATTGACCAAATATCAACTGAGTCTAGACTGAGTATTGGCCAAGTATTGACTGATTATCAAGTATCAGTTCACATATCAGTCGACAACTGATGATAATAATCCCATTACTGTAGAGTGATCGTTTTCACTGTTATGCATTGAGAGATCAGAAAGATAAGGTTAAGAAATTGCAATGTTGTAGGAGATACGTTAAGGAAGCACTCCTCCAAGTTTGAGGTCTCTTTATTATCCCAAACCTAAGATATTCGTCGAAATGTTTTGTGCAAATTTACAGAGCCCAGTATGGAGCCCAGTATTTCCTAAAAAGACTAAAAATCACCAGATAAGTCTATTTTTCGACAAACGCGATCGGAGCTGTATGTCACGCAATCATCATAACTCTGAACTTCAAACTAAGCTACTTTGCAAACCAAGCACGCTATATGGCTGAAAATTTGAAAACAGATACAAATTTAGATCCCCTTATGCCTGATCAGGATAAAAATTTTGGTGGCTCTTTAGTTTTGAAGATGTCACGTGATAATCAGCAATTACGTCACAGGAACCCTGTTGACTCTACCTATACGTAATTACTGAAATTATTTTTGTAAACTAACCGCTGCATTATAATTAAAAAACTATCATGGCTCTTTATTTTTGGATTTTCGAATTTGAAGATGTCACGTGAAAATCAACAATTAAATTTGCGTCATAGAAACTTTATTGACAAACTAAATGCTGCATATAATTATGTAAAATCCAAATAGTTTTGGTAACGATGCTGTAAAAAATCTAATGACTATAATCTCACGAGTTTTGCAATGATCGAAGTCAATGCACGTACAGACACGAAACTAAGCAGTACTTACCAAACACTGACAAAGCTGCCTTCGTATTTCATTTCTTTGCTCTTCGTTCAAGCGATCTTTCCCCAGTAAGGAGTCCAACCAGCTATTGATTTCGTCTTCTGGTACATCACAGTATTTCGAGTACTTTCCTGAGTATATATTTAAAACTACTTAAGGAACTATTTATCTTCTCGAAGAGTGCAATTTAAAGTTGCAATGGATATTGCGCTGAGTTTGTACAGGCGACTGGTTTCTTACAAAGCAAGGCTATAATAAGTAATTACCTAGAGAGGAACTCTTGATTGAGTTCAGTATGTTCTCTCGGACTAATTTCAAAGCACTTTCGCCCTCTTTTCCATTTTTTCGGTAACCATCAAAGAAGCAGCTCACAGTTTCCAACGACATGCTCTTTAGTATTTCTTGCCGTTACAACAACACGTAGTGGAATAACTATGCAGCCAGGCCTGGACTCTTTTCACCCAAGGCGGACAAGCTCATTTGCTCACGAGATCTTGTGTTACACTAATGCAAATTATAGGAGTTTGTGTGAGAACTTAAAGGACCTGTCTTATTCTATTTACAAAACATGACGCTATCGACATTGCCGATCCTAGCAGTATACAGGACGCGTGTCATAACGAACTTCATAATGGGCCTTGCTCGGGCGACCCTAAAAGCTGATCCTAAAATTGGGAACGGCGGAAAATGACCTCAAATCCTAAAACACGGAAAGGCGTGAGAAGACAAAAGAAAGTTAACAGAAGGAAGCCGTCAAGAGGAATTTGAAGAATTTCTTCGCGAGCAGGTGTCCAAAACACCACCATCCTACTATGCCGTGAGAAATTCCCACGCGCATGACCCTGATGCAAACCTCTTTGCTCTCGCGCTAGTCTAAGTTTGGTCACGCGCGTTATCGTCGTGGGAATGAATGAGCCAAGCGCTTGACTGTCTTTGTACAAAATTTATGCAACATGCCCTGTCATCCGTTCCGTGTTTTAGGATTTGGGGTCATTTTCCGCCGTTCCGTGTTTTAGGATTTGGGGTCATTTTCCGCCGTTCCTGGTTATAGGATTTGAGATCATTTTCCGCCGTTTCGTGTTTTAGGATTTGGGGTCATTTTCCGCCCTTCCTGGTTTTAGGATTTGAGATCGTTTTCCGCCGTTTCGTGTTTTAGGATTTGGGGTCACTTTCCGCCGTTCCGTGTTTTAGCATTTGGGGTCATTTTCCGCCGTTCCGTGTTTTAGGATTTGGGGTCATTTTCCGCCGTTCCTGGTTTTAGGATTTGGGGTCATTTTCCTTCGTTTCGGGTTTTAACTTTGGGTCATTTTCCGCCGTTCCAGATTTTAGGATTTGGGATCATTTTCCGCCATTCCACCATTCTATTGTTCCAGCTTTTAGGGTCGCCTCCTTGCTCGCCTTAGAGTCCATAGAGTCGTTTTGGCTCAGTAGTAGAGCATCGGAGCTCGGAATCCGAAAGTTTGAGGTTCAAATCCATATGACTCAGAATTTTTTCTTTGTCCCACACTTGTGATAAGACGAAAAATTCTCTATCATAAGAATTGTAGAGCAGATATTAGGGAGAATTACTTTTCAGATCTTGAGCAATATATGAACTGACCCAGTGTCAGCTGATAAGTAAGCAATTCATAAGAATTTTGCTTTCGGTAATTGCAAGAAAAGTTTAAGACGAAACGCATTCCCTGCCAGGGTGCCTCAGATATTCTGCGATAAGAGATACAACCTTTTATTTTAAGAACATAAAATTCCCACTCAGACAACAACTTTCACGCAAATCTTTAATATCACATCTTGCCAATTTATCGATGATACCAGTAACCTTCAGTTATCAATGAAGCCATCTAGTCGTCCATGATCCATTAACTAAACAAGTAATAAATAACTTTTATAATTGCTTTTAAATTCCTTTTTGGTTGCGTTAATTCAGTATCCTGTAATAGTCCTGAAAATAGACTCTGTTGTTTTGTTGTTGTTGTTGCAACAATGTTGGCGCGGTTAATCAGGATCAACGCGTTCGTGGGAGAGGTCACGCACGCAAGAGCCGCTGGCTTTCTTCCTGTTGCACGTGATTCGCGTATTCTTACTTCCTGTTGCACGTGATTCGCGTATTCTTACTTCCTGTTGCACGTGATTCGCGTATTCTTACTTCCTGTTGCACGTGATTCGCGTATTCTTACCGAGGGCCTATTACACGTACAGGTCATACAGCTGAGAATCGAAATGCAGATAATGCCTGTTTTTATCTCAGTTGTTCACCTTTAGGTTAAACATCTATTACTTTCCCTCCAAATATTCCTTCTGTCTTTAATTCCTGACCGTTGGATGGAGGAAGGGAATATTTCCCCGCGAAAAAAGTGAGAGTACTTGGGATTGATGAGCCGAGTCATTTTTGGTGGGACGGTAATCGATATTGCTTCGAAATTTTTCTGCAAACGTCTCCGACTTGTAGGATTTCATGTAGAAATATTATAGGGGGGAGGAAACTGACAGGAGCATGAAGAAATTATCACAGTAATTTTCTTTAAACTAAGTATTTATTTGAAGTTCTAACGATGGTCCGAGGATTGAATTTCTGCCGAGTAAGAAGAAATCCGAATACTCCCATCCATTTCTACCAGGGGACTACGGTTCCTCGTGTTAAAAGAACTCACATGTCCCAGTCCGTTCGACTGCGTGTCAGGTTCCACACGCCTAGCCCTCCCAAAAAATTGACAAAGCGTTCGGCGGAAGTCGGGAAACCTACAGCTGTAGATAATCAGATTCACAAACGAATTGCTGTAATGTAGAAGCTTGATCGCGTGAAAGAAATTTGTCTCTGCTTTCTGTCTTCATTGAACGCAGAAGAACAAGGCAATGTTTAACAAATGAAATGGTAGCCATGTGACGAGGAAGAATCCAGTGACAATTGCCAGGGTCAGAATCAGCCTGCGCTCTCGTTCAATAGACAGTCTGCTGTTCCTTCGACGATCGCTTAGCTCGAGCTGACGAGCTCGGACCTTATACCAGACCGCGGTGTACGTGACAAGCACGACAACGAGGACAAAGGACAGTGCAAACATCATATTGTAAAAGAAGACGGTGAACTCAACGATCTTGCGTTCGTTCAAAATGTGAAGTAAAACTTGAAGCAAGGAAATTAGCCAACAAACCGTAACAGCCGCATAATAAGGCATTTTGCTTGTCGCTCGATGCCTATGCGGGGAGAAAACAGAAAACATGCGCTCTAGACCGATCACAGATAAGCTGAATATAGACGCAAAGCCGGTCAGCAGATCAATGGCCTTATAAGAGGAGACAAAAGTAGCGTTTCTCGCTATGGCGCTTTCTGGCCACTGGAAGACCATATACATTGGAACGGCAACAGAGCCCACGAGCAGGTCAGCGATCGCTAAGTTAATCAGTAGCAGGCTTGTGCGCATGCGACGAAGTCTTGAATTGTTGAGGAACACCGCTATAGAGAGGAAATTTCCTACAATAGTAAAAAATGCAAGACTGCTGAACAAAACAGTCCAGCTTACTCTCACTGAGGCCGTCGAGGTGTTCATGTTTACCTCACACCACAAACAGCTGGTGGTAAATTACAATCTGAAAATTTAAAAATGAAAATAATAAGAGTTTGATAGAGGAAATTTCTATTAAAATTTTGGGTTATAATCTCCACACCCTGTGCCCATCCCTTTGTAGGCCCGTCAGGCTGTGAGAAAACAAATTATCAAACAAAGCGAAAAAAAGCTCTTTACCCGGCCCACTAGAATATGGGCAGTCCCACTTCCTCACCCCTCATGATCTTCATTATAAATCAAAATGCGACAAGATTAACAAGGTCAAAAATTCAGATGTTCTGGTGCAGTGGTAGAACTGAAACGATAATCATGCAAATAAAATGATAATATTGATTACAATTATGATAACAGCAACTTACAGTAAAAATGAAAGTGACAAAAGGAGAAATTTCTTCATTCATTTAAGTAGATCTCGTGATGTTTTAGCAAGCATTTTCGCCAATTTAAGTTTAGGTTTTGTTGATAACCTCCTGTGATCCTCACAAGTTCAGCTCTCGTGATCCCTAATTTCATCGAGTCGTTCTTATTGAATCGAGAGCCTCTACTAATGCGTTAACCATAAGCGCTTTCTGCTATTGATGGGTGTTCTACCAGCAATCGAAACGTTTTATTGATCGGAAAAGCTCCTCTGTACGTTTAAAAGCCAATCTCAGCTACTTGAAATTCCTTGAAAAGTTTTCATAAACCGTACCATGGATTAGTACAACTAAGATTTAACCATGTTAGCTGTAAAGTGTTTCCGTCGACGTAAATCAAAAGGTACTCTGACAGTACCTTTCGAAATCCTGCCTAAGATTGCCGAAAGGGGCAAATATTGAATTCGCAGTAACGATTAATCCACTTAACCGAGGATATGGCAAGTTGTCGAGAAAAAAACTTGATGTAGACCTATACAACTAAAAAAAAAGTGATGCTAAAGGAAATCTAGAGAAAGTCATTTTTTACTCTACTGAGTTTGATCAGATGATTGAAGAATAGTTTCCGGGTCTACTCGGAGGAAAATTTTTCTAAAATCGAATCAAATTTGATTCTGAAAGCATTCAATTTCTTAGATGCATTACGATGAGTGACGAGAAAAAAATCAACCGGGCCTCTCTCTAAAAGTAAAAAATGTAATGTTACCAAACGAATAGGCCAGGGCTTGCCCGGTGAAAAATCTCACCAAAGTTTTCGCCAAAGGATGCTTTCAGCGAACAGAAATAACTTGAACAAGCACAGGTTTTTCATCTGTTGTTGTTGTTGTCGTTGTTGTTCATTAAAGAGACTGAAATCTTTCGTTGAGAAGGCTGATGCGCCAGGCCAAAACAGCACTCTCTATATTCGGTCGCTAAATTGTCAGTGTTGTTCAAATGTGTGAGTCACGTCATGTTGCGTGCATGTAGCTTTAGACATAATGATAGATTTACAGTAAACAGACAAAGATTGATACGGTTATCAGCTGTAGACTGAAAGCAATTCCTAAAGTGTAGTTTCAATTTAAGATCATTTGTTTGAAATTAGTTAGATAAGAAAGGTAAACATCACAAGCAAGCTTTGATGTAAACTCACGTTTATAAAAGCCGTGAGGAAGTTTTATTAAATTGAATTTTAACCCTTGGAATTGATCTGAAATCGTCCACTTCGCTGTTTGAGACGATCATCATGTCAAATGTTGGTTATTGAAGAATTAAAAGCATAAGTGAGTGCGCGCCATTAGGTCAGTCAAAGCCAAACATTTTGCGCAACAAAGAAGAGGGAAAGACTGAAGGTCCCTAATAGTTTACCTAAAGCTATTTTAAGACTCGGAGACGGAACTTTTAAGCTTTTTGCGTGCGGCTCATTAAACCACGAATACTTAGGCGGTATCGTTGAGTGCTATTTGTTCAAATTGAAACTATAAACG